TCATCATCAGCGCCATTTTGCTGTTGCTTGAATAAAGCGTCAGCTGAACCCATGGTATTTCAATATATATATATATATATATATATATATATATATATATATATCCTTTTTTCTTTCCGCCTTTGGAAAATTCTGGAAACCACATCGCGGTGATGAATCATAATGCGGACGGAGACATTTCCACGTTTGCCTTTGAACCGATTCCCGTGTATTCGCTGATATTTCCTGTGTATGGCCAGCTGTAATATGTTGGAGATAAGCACAACATTGGTTGTGTGTGCAACGACTTGTCAGTCGTAGAATAATGCAACGTATTTCTTCACGTCTCGTAACAGGACGCACAGGCCTGAATATTAGTGGGTATGGAGTATAAATACGATCCTCGACGTACTTACATAGGTACCCACAATTGCATAGGATGAAAGTGCTCCACCGACACGTCACCACGATGTAGTTTTTATCGGGCACGCCAGGCGACGCCTTCTTTTGAGCTTGTTCTTGTTTCGCACTTCTGGTTTTCTTCTACGCTATGCGAGATTGACTATCAGTCTCGTAATGGAGTACGAGTGTTATCACCGCAGCGCCGTTCTGTGTAACGAGAAGCGTCGTCTCGCTTCGGGGCCCAGTGGTGCGGCCGATGGGCGTTTGCTTTGCGTTGAGGCGTGTCGTGGCTGCGTTGGCGTTTGCCTCTGCAGGAGTTCAAACGCGCTGACGTTATGACCATGGCTGCCTTGGTGGCTGAATGGCGGTGCGGCGCGCTAACTCTCGGTAGAGCGGGACGTGCATGATCGCCCACGTGACATCACTTGCAGCACGCGCTCACGGTTGGCGAGACAGCTCCCCGAGATAGAGTGCTTGTGTGCCACAGCTGGGGTACTTTATTTATACTTGACAGATTAAGAGAGTTTAATGCTCGTTATAATTTGTACAAAATACTAAATTTGACAACAGCTGCGCACTGAAGTCCCTATTAATGTCCTGTTGACACATCTAAAGTTGAATGTGATGCCCCCACTGAGGCGACGAGATGAAAGTGTTCGATTAGCAGTTTTCAATTTTTCTAATCGTTCCGCTAGTTCGTGGCACCTTTCGCGAAGTTATTGGTATGTATGTATGTATGTATGTATGTATGTATGTATGTATGTATGTATGTATGTATGTATGTATGTATGTATGTATGTATGTTATGTATGTATGTATGTATGTATGTATGTATGTATGTATGTATGTTGTATGTATGTATGTATGTATGTATGTATGTTATGTATGTATGTATTGTATGTATGTATGTATGTATGTATGTAGTATGTATGTATGTATGTATTATGTATGTATGTATGTATGTACTGGCCACAATGGAAACCCAGAGAAGAGAACTTACATCGTGTTTTAGACCTACACGGAAGCTACAAGTGTAATACCGACTTACTGAACGTTTGAGGCTCAAACCGCCCTTACTTTTCAGAATTCCGTAGTATGTATATGCATCATCTCACTTTTTTCTATGCGCATACAAGACGGAATTTCACGGAAAGATGGACGTTGGAAGTTATGTCCACCGCGGTGGAGCTGTGGCTACATCGCTCGGTGCAGAGCCGAAGTGGTAGAGGAGATGAAACGGTAGAGGTACGTGTCAGTAAAGAACACCCGATGGTCGAAAGTCCTGAAGTCCTCGACTATGGAATCTCTAGTAGTCATATATTCGTTTTGAGACGTAATACCTCTGATATTATTATTATTATTATTATTATTATTATTATTATTATTATTATTATTATTATTATTATTATTATTATTATTGAAAGTGATGAGGAACTATTGAACAGTTCTCTGACGTATAACTTTAATGATATTGTTGAGCCTTAATGTGGTTTTATTAGGCACATATGGACAGATGCAAAGTCTCTTATTGTGGAATAAAGGGGCGCAGGTAATCCGTGGGGATAGGCGGGACTTCGGTAGACTATACAATAATGGTTCACACTGCCTTACGGTTTTCGCTCATTTGAGTAGCTGTCACTTGCGCGAAGTTAACCACCAGAACCGTTTGTGCCCTTTCACTTTCACTTCTTTGTAGAACTGCGTGTCTGCCCAAGTACCCGCCTCTCTCCATTGTTTTTTTTTGTTTTTGTTTTCATGCGAACTTAGCAAATGTTCGTGTCATTTCAATATCCCCTGCTCTCTACAACCTTCCGAATATTTATTCTGCTTTTAGTTGTTTCTAATTGGACGGAGGAGTGGCCGCCGCTAACGAAGGCATCGGTCTGTTTTACAAAATAGAGGAGCAATAGCATAGAAAAGGAAAGGCGAGCCGGATTGCTACCCTACTTGCAAAGAGAAAGGGGGAGATTGGTGGATGGAGAGAAGAGAGAAAAATAACACACACACACACACATACATACATACATACATACATACATACATACATACATACATACATACATACATACATACATACATACATACATACATACATACATACATACATACATACATACATACATACATACATACATACATACTTACACATGGCCGGTTGGTCGGTAGGACGCTTAGTCAGAGTTGTTTTTCCGCCAGACTACGACCAGCTCACCCAAAAAGACCATATATGCGCTTATTTGAAAATATCAGCTTGTAGTGCTCATTGTTTGATACTCTGACCGACATCGGCTCATTGTCTGACACAAGCAGTCTCTCCCCATGGCTCGGGTAATTCCAGCTATTCTTTTGTTACTCATTGCATGCTCGAGAGGCTGGAAATTACACGACATCTGATTGGAAAGAGAGCGTCTAGCCTATAGATAAAAGCTGCGCCTGTCGTTCGACTATGTTCTGCACACGTGAAGCAAACGTAGAACAGTGCCTGATAATGGCAACTCTTGCTGACCAACGATTCGTGGCCTGAGACTATGCTCAGTACTTTTCTTTAAAGTAAAGGCTATGAAATCCAGGAAGACAAAAATATGGATCTTAACGAAACAACAGTGTGCTACAACTGAATAATAATGTGTTTCTTGTATAGGCATATGATCATGAACGTTTAAGGACAATTACTGTCACCGGAGATGAGATGTTACTTGAGGTGATGTGCTGTGTCGTGTTCCGTTATGCAGGAGTCGCGACGGAGGTAGTGACGTAACGTGTCAGCGCTATAGCACTGTCTTTTTTAGACCAAGGCCAAGTGAAAACAAACGTTTCACGTCGTCTTTTCTATGGGGTTTCTTGAAGACGTTTTTGTAGTAATAGAGAATCTGTGTCGAATGGGAAATTTGCATGTTAAGTAGAATGCATAGTCTTGACGGCTGAAAAAGTCCATCCCTGAATAAGTTCCGATCAGGAGTGAGGCAACAAATATCGTGTTTTCGCAGCGCGCCACCACAACTTCTTCACTTGATTTAACAAGCCAAAGCTTTGGAGTTTAATGGCTTCCAACCGCTGCTAGTGAAGCGTTTTTATGCGGTACGACAGCGTCGCTTGCTCCAGAAAATGTCCGTAGATTACACATGTGGAAACTTGCGGATCATCCTGGAAGTGATTGTGTATTACATCTTTGTTGTTCTGATAAGTTTTATGAGCTCATACTTTTGGAACACTTGTCCGCGCTTCGCGCGCAGGACATCAACCATTTGATTGCTTTCAACTCCAACGTGAGATGCGGTCTACTGAAAATTAACATCAAGACATTTTTCGATTTAATGAGCTCCAGAAAATGCCCCGTGAAATCTGGCTTGGTCTTTGAAGACTCGGCTTTGCACTTTGCCGCTCTGTGCCTGCTTCAGTGACATCGGCGACACATGAATTTTCTGTGGCTTTGCCCACACTTTAATTAGGAAAAAGCAGTGGTGTTCTCCAGCTTGCTGATAATTTTTCATATACGCCGGTCATGTGAAGATGTCGTTTATCCTGAAGGGCCCGCGACAACGGGGAGGAGTGTGCAAAGAGTCTTGAAGGCCTAACTGCTACAGACATTCGGCTGTGCAACCCGTATAAACCTTGAGGACAGACCCCTACACTTCAGCAGATGATGCTGAGGCGGGACAGTTGCCGGCCATGTATATAGGTGAGGTTAACCCCACCTGCTGCTGCCTCACAGCCGCTACGACCACGTTATGACGTTTTCGGTATTTGTGCGTCGCGAAACAGAATTTGTTTTAGCAGAGTTGAGAGAGCACGTGAATTCAGATTTCAATTATTTCTTACTGTTGAGCAATATACGATGGCATATTGTTGTGTGATATCTGATATGTACGTATACCACACGGCAGTAATTGAATATAACAACCTAGATACGAGTGATACTGCGAATATACACTAAGAGAAGCTGCGAAGCAATGTGTATTGTAATCTGAACATTTCCGGGTTATCTAATGATGCCCTGTAAATAAAGATAACTGTCAACAACCACACTTTTTAGAAACGGCTGTGCTAGTTTATGGGATGTCTCGTTGACGATAACCGGGTGATCTCGTCTGCATGCCTGTATTTTCATCCCGAGATCCCCGGATGCCTCGCTTGAAGTGGCCGGATAATGGTGCCGACATTTGGCTCATTTTCCCGAGAGCCAAAGACCAGCGCATGCATATATATACATTTATGCTCTACAAACGCAGTACTTGCATAAGCACCAACTGGAACAAAGTTTCCAGACTTTGTCGCAGTTATTTTCTTCCACGTGCCATGAACTTGCATCCCTTGACTAAACCAGACGCTGCTCGGTACTGATTAAACACCATGTATCTAGCATCATTTTACTAATACAGACAATTAGACCAGCGGGAGTCACTCTAGAGGCCTCATGCCAACTAAACAAAGTGCAGCTATGTCGCCTAAATTGGTAGCCGACGTGGAACAGTTAACTTTTGCGAACAATACAAAGGAAGCGAGATTGATAGCATGGTAGAAACTGATAAAAGGCCAACGCGACGCTATTCAGCCCCGTTATCTTCATGCGTCGATTGTAGAGAAAACAGTAGAGTGGGGTATAAATATCGGGTCTTCTGATGTAGGTTCAGCATTCGTTTTTAGGAGTGGTGTCTGGCGTAAACATGCGCACTCTTCTCCTCTGTGCTGCCCTACTAGTCGTCTCAGCCACCGCACACCGTGTCGGTAAGTCCGTGAGATTTATCTGCTCTTCATCTACGATTGGTGCGGCCAGCAGCCCACGGTGTAATAACTGTAGCTGCGAGTGGACAATCCCCCATCTTTTTCAGAATGTGCTCACTGCAGTGTCCCGAGCAAAGTAACGACCTCTTTTGACTACTGCACATTGTCAGAGGAAGTGGTCTTGGGACACTGGCTGAGACCGTCCTCAGAACAGTTGAATTTGAAAGCGTTCTTGCGTTTTTTGGGCAACTGGTCTAAGCGACAAACTAAAAGCAGTGCCGTATCTTCCTTTTCCCCCTCTTTTTATTGCTACTTTTTGTAACATCTCGTTTGTATTACCTTTTGTTCCCCTTGTTCCTTTCATCAGCACAGGACAGCCAGCCTGTGATCTGCTGACCTTCCCGTCCCTAAGCCTATGTCTACATCTTCCTTTAGGCTTATCTTCACTTGAGCGCGGGTGTTGGTTCGAGGAGGCGGAGTATACTCTCGGTACTCTAAATTTACTTTATTTGTAAAGTCGAGATTAACTTAAGCCTGGTTAATGCTATAGCTTTCTGCTTGACTAAGTAATATTGCTCAAGAACTAGTTTTTTGGTAAGTTGGTGCTTGGATAGTGGTAGATACTTATTCCTGAAGTGTGACTTAAACCACAATATGGCGACAAAAGAGAGACTGACACAGTGAAGACAGACAACGGAGCGCCACAGCGGCACTCTCCAGCTAGAATAAAAGAAGCCATGCTAATTCGCGGCACTGAATTAGTCGAGGTGTTGCCTTGACTTGCCAGTATACGTCTATACTTCATTGGCTCCATGGAAGAGTAAATTACGGACGCTAAGTGTGTGAAGCAACAGAGCACCTATTTTGTGATTGCCCAGATTACGTGCCTCAACAAAAAAAAAATGCTGGCTTAATCGCGGGCAGGAATCGGTGAGGTAGCGCAAAGTGACATTTTGTCAGCAATGTGCGGTCAGACAGAGTCCACTGGCACAGGGGCACCAGATATAAGTTTTCTCAGTAGTACGGGACTGCACACTATATACTGTAGCGAAACCATTGGGTACGTGGCTTTTGTACATACGCATCACATTTTTCTCACAATCATCACCATTCATCTCTCCTTTCAGTGTGTAGCCCTCTAGGGACTTCGCTTGTCGTCCATCCCCAGATCTCGCGTGGCGGGATCAGGCTCAAAATTTAGTGATCATCACAGAACTAAGATAAAGCTGGCAATGCTAGAAAGCGCGTTCAAATAAGGAAATAATGTCTAAAATAACATAATTAACAAAATAACCAAGAAGCAATCGCAATGATTACCGTAAGCCTGCAAAACGCTTATGAAACATTGAAACATCTGGATGACTCCAGCGCCGCGCAATAGAGGGCGGCACCACCTCACGAAGCGCATGACTGCTCGTATACCACCGGCGCTTTTCTGGCGCTATATATGACTGAAGGGGGAAACAACAACCAGACTGAACGCGCTGCGGATAACACGTATCTCAACTGCCATATCAAGCAGGAAGTTAATAGAGCACAGAATAACGTAGCTTGCATGTCGCACGCCGTGCTTGCGAGTCTCCGTAGCAAGATTCCACTCGCGTCGGGAAAATCCTACATGCTTATCAAAAACGAAGACGTCATCGATGGTTTAGTTAACCGAACGGTGGGAAGTTTATGAGTTGGCTTTTTTTTCATTTTTTCAGTTTATTGAGGTTGTTATGATTACATTTCATGAAATGCGCAACACTGATTAGACCCATAGCCTCTGGCTATGGGTCTATGGGGCATCGATGAGTCTACGCTATTCCTCAGAATTTACACTGTAGTGGAGCTGTATTTATTTAGCGCGGGATGTCGAACTACACTAATCGTTACACAAGACTGACATTCACCTCTTTCCGTTTTTCCCTGTGCAGAGTAACAGGCTAGAGCGCACAAGTTCAGGCCGACCTCTCGGCCTTCTCTCTCTCTCTGCTTCTTTTCCCCTTCTGTTTTCGCACAAACACACGCCCACTCGCCGTGGCCGTCTAGTGGCTAAGGCACTCGGCTACTGACCCGCAGGTCGCGAGATCGAATCCCGGCTGCGGCGGCTGCATTTCCGATGGAGGCGGAAATGTAGTAGGCCCGTGTGCTCAGATTTGGGGGCACGTTAAAGAACCCCAGGTGGTTGAAATTTCCGGAGCCCTCCACTACGGCGTCTCTCATAATCATATGATGGTTTTGGGACTTTTAAAGCCCAACAATTATTATTACGCGCACACACACGCACGTACATACAAACACACACAACACGTATAGATATATATCTACAGCTGCCTAAGCAATAATTCTTCTTAGTGTTTGTGTCATAATTTTTTTTATTTTTACGTTATGCTATCAACATACCATATAACCAACGTGGTATAATGACCTTCTTGCACAGATGAGTGCGGTGTGCCCCGCATCCAGCCCCACCTGGAGGCTGAAGACCGCATCGAAGGCGGCAAAGAGGCGGTTCCAGGGAGCTGGCCCTGGCACGTTCAGGTCAACACGCGCTTGGGCCACCACCGCTGCAGCGGCGCGCTAATCGACGAACAACACGTTGTCACGACGGCCTCTTGCATCTGGTAAGGTATGCTCTATTTTACAGACCGGCCTTGATGCTGCCTATTTTCCTTGCGGCTTTGTATCTTTAACGAGTAAACGAACAATGCTATGGTAGACGTGGTGGACACGGTGGGAAAGCGGTCGGGTTGGCGCATTCGAAGCTTCATGACCTTATTAATTCATGTCGATATGGAAAGATATGAAAACATGCATTTAGTAGCCAAGGTGGCGGCTCCCCTGTGTCTTTCGAACAATCGTCTATGCGTCTGGTGTAACACAAGTATACGGAAGGTGAACCAAACAGATGTGCTGAAAGAGCAAGGAGGTGATGTGGAAGAAAAAAATCTGCTTGTTATACGGTTACGTTTTTTGTTTCTGAGAGAGAGAAAGAGCGTGAGAGATAATGGGAAAAATAGATAGATTCTGTATAAATTGAATAGTTGGGCTGCTCTCTTGTCTGAGGGTTGATATGGGCTATAGATTGTAGCTGTCGATCAAAAGATTGTGGACATAATTTAGGTGTCTGACTAGAGGTGCCCTTAAACTGCACCTTACACGAATGCAGTACATCTTAATCGCGTATTTCCAGAATTGTACCTCTAGGCCAAATGTAGAATATGTAAGTATAGACGAGCCAACCCATAGAGCACATACTACGGGATTGCGAAATAGTTCAGAGCATAACTGCAATCCCGCCGGATGAACCAGGAACGAAGCGGAGTGCCGCGGAGACTATAGCTCAGATCTCCAGGATCAACTTTGGAGATTCAGCGAGCTTGGGAAGCCACCAAGAGATAGGGTCTTTGTACTATCCACCTCGTGGCCTAGAACCAGGCCATCCATTTCACATCTACTCTTTGCAATGATTCGATAGAAAGGGGGGTCCGGCGTATGCGCTTAACACTGCGCTTAACACTGTCATTCTACACTTTTTCAGGAAGCTGAAAAACATTGGTGTTCTGAAGGTGCTCGCTGGAGCGCATTCTAGGGACGCAGTTCTTGAAGGAGAAAGAAGCGCTGACGTGGCAGAAGCTTGCGTCTTCAAAGACTACCAGGGAGGTCATGTGGTAAGTGTTTCCACCGATTTTTGATTGACAAAGCATCTCACATTGGCTCGGAGCACTTCTGAGTGCAATAGCTTAGTGAATACCTGGCGATATCGCAAGGATCTGCGGCTCAGTGTGCACGGTAGCCGTCAGAGCAAACATCGCGGGCGATCCTTCCAAGTAGCAAACCGGTGCACTTCGCAGATATTTAGCGTGGAAGTTCTTAAGTACGATGTCTTACTGGATTCTTCGACCAACCTTCAGTGACATCACGTAGTGGTAAGAATAATGGTATATAATTTAATGGCAAAAAAAACGTAATAATTCTGGCCGAATTCATTTATCGTGGTTGACTGCATGCCACTTGCACTGCTAAACTGTGTTCTAATTGGCTGAATAATAATAACGTTGGTACAGATGTGCAAGCGAGAGGGAGAGAGGGGGTGGCCGCAGTCACCTAAAGAGAGGGCGCATGGTCTGCCCTACATCGTTTCGTTATGGAGACCTTGATGACATATATACTTGCATATGTTAGTGATACGGAGATTGTTTTTCTCACATGATTTCTTGCTCTATAGTACAAACCACAGAAGTAAGCAGCGAATACTCGCTCGCCGTCAAACCTGCTACATCATTGTTTAATGTTCAGGGTTATGGCTACGCTGGTTTTTGTACAGAATTGCAGCCGAAGGCCTCTCATGTTGCATTCCAAGAGCTGTTTATTTTACATTTTCTCTCCCGGCAAGCGACGGACCAAAAGCAGGCAATTATGGGAAGTAAGCCAGGCTGTTCCTTCATTTTTTTATATATTGTGGAGCATGCTGTGGTTTGAACTTCTCGACCAACCGGAAGTAAGGGTGCTCGCTGTGACGATACTTGGACCTTTCCTCCCCCCGAATGGCGAACCCACCACGCGCCTATGAATGTTGGCTAACTGTTCACCAACACTGACTGCTGTTTTCTACTGTGGGATGCTCTAGTCTATCCCGTTTCATATTGCGTTGATTCAATTTCAACATATTGGCAATCATGCGATTAATTAGACGTTTTCACTTCGTCCAGAACAACATCGCCGTACTCAAGCTGAAGACTCCGCTTAACCGCACGGACACAATCCAGCCCATATGCCTGCCCAGCGCACCCGTAGTTGGAGGATGGAACGTGTACGCGACCGGCTACGGACACACCCACCGTGAGTAAATGTTCGTGCGTTTCATCTTTTACAGGGAAAGCTCTACCATAGGCTATATCACCCTAGGTCATTCGTCGCATCTGAAGCACCTTGAGCCACCACTGTGTAAGCGTGGCATAACGCCACGCAACGCGTCCTGCTGCGGAGAAGTGTCGTAGCTGCCCTCACTCCAAGTCTCGCCGCTGCGATACCACGCGACAAAACGAAAGGTTATAACGATGTACGCACGCCCTCTGCAAAATTAAAAAGAAAAAAAAAACGTATCCTTTCAGTTGTGATGATTATGTCAAGAAGAGTTGACCCTCGGTCATTTTTTTACGTGCAGGGGGGGGGGGGGGGAGCTCAGGGGGGTGTAAAAACTCGATTGTTGAAGTATTTTGGCGTTTCGTGAAATACGGGGATCCTGTGAAGACTAAAGCTTATTTGTGTGTGATTGGGTGTGTTCTGACACAAGATTTGAACGTCGTGCCGCAATGCGGGCTTGCTGGAGATATATGACACCTTTGGGTTGTCACGGTTGCGTGCAGTATAGCAACGGCTGACACAACAAACCGTGAGGACGATGCTAGGTTGCAGATCTGCGTCACCTGACTTATCAATGGGCATTTAACCAAGCTCCTTCTATTCATTTGCACAATAATTTCTGGAAAAACAAGCGGCGGGTATTTTTGAACTAAGCCGCTGGATACTGGAAAAAGTTTTATTGCAGGCTTAGTTATAAGTGGTCATATTTATCGTGTACCTAAATTTCTGTTGTTTAATTGCTTTCAGTACCGTTTTTATGACGACCGTGCAAGTTATCGTTTTATACCTTCCGTGACAGATGACCACGACTCTCTCGTGAAAGGTCTGAGCCAGGCCCGTGTCCAGACGGTGGCCAACAACGTGTGCTACGACGAAAATGACACGGAAGTGCCCAAGAGTGTCTTCTGCACCGTGTACGACCACGGCTCTCCATGCATGGTGAGTGCGCGCAATGAGATTGATAATAGTTACCGCGTTGACCTGTCCAGCATTAGCGAGATATTTAAGGCGGAAAGTTGGACTAGTCCGTATCGAGAATGATACGAAACGGTTCTAGTGAAATAAGCAACGGGGACGACCAGAGGAACACGTAGTCTAGTCACGTGCTTCTCTTCTCGACCCAGTTTCATAGCGAGAGATCAGCCCGGGCAGGCCATTTGAAGAAAGTCGGGAAGGGAGCTCGCCCGGCGGTAGACATAAGAGAGGTTGATGACGACGACGGCAGTGATCATGATGGTGCCGGTAATGACTGTTGGGGAAGAAAAGACGAAAAAAACAAAGTGAGGTACTTATCTAGATAAATGTCAGATACACAAGAGGTGGGCTTTAGTTGGAAAAAAAGAGAAGATAGTAAATGACTGCGCGCACGTCATGGAGTACTATGCAGGATCAGCCGAGTTTCACCCGAGTTTCGCGAAACTCAGGATCTTTCTAAGCTCTGGCGACACCCTCTTTTGAATGAGCCAAGAGTACAAAAAAGATAAATCCACCCTTCAACAGGCTGCAATCATTGGCTACGATGGAACCAGTTATCGCGTCAAGGACGGTCGACTAAGTTGGGCGGAGTTTTCAAACCAGAGGCATCTTCTGTTGTTTGTTTGTCGTTCCACTGAGTTGCCATGCAATAAAAAGTGTCACAAACTTTTTGTGATGATATTTTTTAGAGGCACGGGGTGTTTAAATTTATTCTGAATATTTTATTGCCTGCGCTAAGTCTGCTTTAGAATATATAAGCGCGGTGGCCTCTGAAACTTGTTCCGGCCGAGTGTCTTACAACATCCCGACCGCAGGTAAACCCGAGGCCACGTGTTAATCATCATGGTCAGTCTGTACATTATAGCGTGGTGTTCGGCTGGTGCGCGTCTTCTTTATTGTCATCGTGCGCTAGCACCCGAGCACGTGGAGTCAGCTAATTAGTTATTTGGACCCTTTTTCTTTTTACGGAGAGATAGATTTCCTTCTTTCTGGGATGTTGCACGAGAGTACTAAAGCCTCGGAAGTGCATTTTTGGGAAAGTCACGTGCACTAACAACAGCCCAGAGAGGACTATGGCGGCGCCCAGTGAGGGAAAAGGTGTTATACACGTATTAGCAAGCTAATTACGCCAAATCATGGCAAGGCCGAGGTAATTGCGCCACATCTTGAAGAGACCATGCTAATTCAGCCATGTAAAGTTAGGACCGGGCTAAACAAAACACACAGTTTATGAGCTAATTAAACCACGCTAATTAACGTGACGTTCATCATGAGCAAGCTAATGAAGCCATGCTTATTCTCCCTTACTACCAAAATGACAATTAGTACTATGCCAATCAGGATTGCGTTAAATAGCTCCTTACTGATCATGGCCTTGCTAATTGCCCTGATATAATTGCCTTTTAATTGAAACCTTATAAATGAAGACAACACAGCTTGGTGTAATGGTCCTTAAGCCTTATCCAATTAGTACCATCAACATTAAGACAGATCTGACTCGTTCTTCACTTCGAAGCCGACCAAGCAAACCAGTAGACGACCAACTTGAAAAGCTGCAAGAAGCAAGGTTATACTAGCTCCACCAGGGGATCCAGCCTTGTGCAAGTAGTGCAAGCTCACCAAATTATTTTGTATGCAAAGGAGCAGCTGCCCCGCCGCGGTGGTCTAGTGGCTAAGGTACTCGGCTGCTGACCCGAAGGTCGCGGGTTCGATTCCCGGCAGCGGCGGCTGCATTTCCGATGGAGGCGGAAATGTTGTAGGCCCGTGTGCTCAGATTTGGGCGCACGTTAAAGAACCCCAGGTGGTCAAAATTTCCGGAGCCCTCCACTACGGCGTCTCTCATAATCATATAGTGGTTTTGGGACGTTAAACCCCACAAATCAATCAATCAAAGGAGCAGCTGCTTAGCGTTCACTGCATGAGCCGCTTGACAGCCACACCACCACCATGACAGTCACAAGTTGAACTGGGGCCTTCTGCAGAATCAACGAGTTTGTATCTGAGTTCATGCGTAAATCAGTATGGTTGACAGACGCCCGCGGCGAAGATTGGATATGCCAACCACATTTGCTCTTGCCGAGGAGCAACTCTCCGTTCAAGCGGCACGTTTAATCTACACTCTAAGCCGAAAAAGACTAAAGTGGGGTATGCCATTGGTCCTTTAGGGGTCTAAATGCGCTGCCACAGATTTTGAACCAATTTTGGACTAACTGCGGGAGTAACTGCAAGGGCTCAACTGTTACCCCAAGCACTTACTCCACTTGGTTTAAATGTTGGCCCCAGTAGAATGCTCCAGCCGAACTAACAGTTGAGCCGTCTGGACTAATGGCAAAAAAAATGGCGACACTGCGTTTGTGCAGTATATTTTATGTTTATTCCAATTTAATCAGCACTGAAGATCATAGTATGTTATTCATGCAACACACACACACACACACACACTCATACATTCGCACTATTATTTCAAAGTAAAACACCGCAAACACTGCCTGCCCGCGCTGTACTACAAGAACAGACACTCGGGTATATATAGCACAGTATTTTGACCTCCCATCTAGTGCCAGTGGGCGACTTTTACTCGGCTTAAGAAAACAATAAATATTGACACCGTAACGCGAAAATTTACATAGGCTTATTCGTAGCACCGATGCGCATCGATCTTTTAATATGGATCCATCTAATCTTCAACATGCCTCCAGCCCGAGAATACGAATTATCAGCTGGTATTCGATCATGTCGGCCGAACCAGCGTTCGCAGTGCTGGCGCACAAGTCCGCAAACACAAGCATAGCAGCGGCGCTTGTGCGGGAAAGCCGGCGAAGCAGCCGCAGGCGCCCCGCCGATGCCATACCGTGTCGGCTTGCCGACGGCGTCGCTAGGCTTACGACGAGTACGGCTAAACGACCGCCGGCGATCGCAACATGCGGCTCGCGTGAAATTTTCGTCGTCGTTATTTTATAGTCACAAATGAACAATAGGTAAGTGCCCCATGTTCACCGTGTCTTACGGAGTGATGTAGATATCTGTATATTTACAGCGACGAGACCGTTCGCAGGCACGGTTCTTTCATCGTGCTGGTAAGGCACAACCTGTGTACCGCTGGCCGCACGATTAGTCGTATCCGCGATCGCCTACACGTTGGATTTTTTGATAACGATTGTCGCATGGATAAAAAGACATAAGTTTGCCTGAGCTACTATTTTTGTGAACTTGTACGCGACGTTTCCTTCGCTTGTGCCGGCAATGCACTCACACCGGCAGCCCGCTTGATACCGATGACGTACGAAGCCTACTTTTCCTATATATCGCTTTGAACTTGTGGTCACTGTGTGGGTACACGACCGTTGATGAACAGCTTACCTTTATTAGCATTGTCAGTGTTCACCGTAGTTCGAACTTATTCAGCACATTAAAGCGAGTTCTCGGCATTGCCCGTGTTTGCGGAGACTTTCACTTGGCTTCGGCTCGCCCGTGCCGGCATGGTGGAAACGCGAGGGCACTTGCTGCGTGCACTGACAGCGTGTTGTTCTACTTTTCTCTAATAACATCTTCTATTCGTTTCATAGTGCTTCACTTTCACAGTGGCGTATAGCCTATTTAACTTGTTTTCATGATCGCCGACCACGCCGAGCATTGCAGTGCAGCATCGACAGGAGGCGATCGCGGCGCAGTTGCCCTCCCCGTTGGTCTCTTCATTGCCGGGCGGTTGCGCAAGACACGCATTGTCACACATTTAGTCCCTGTTGGACGAACCGTTCGTCCATTGGTTTAACGACTGCAGTTAATCCAACTTTGCCGAATTTCGGCTTAGAGTGTATCAGCTTCATCGCGCAAGCTATGCACACGCGCACGCATAAGTAAAAGTGATATCACGCGGTTACGATGTCTCGCATTCACTTCCACCGCACTCACAATGTATCCAATCACAGCCACGTTGACGCCATGATGCGAGCGCCCCTAGTGACCACGTGTCCTTACATTTATCTGCAATATTTAATAGAAGCGAAACGAGCAGCACGAGAGTGCTGCATGTGCACCCTTGCTGCCTTAGAGAGTGTAAATTTTTATGCTGCAGGTGGAACGACTGAACTTGTTTGAAAGAGGACAAACGCCCACGAATGCGCCTATGGGAGGCGCATGTTGAGTTGGCGAAAAGATAGCGTGATAATTACTCTGACGTCGCTCCACTGTTATAATGTTGACTGAGTGACGACGCTGACGTGTTCGCACGAGGTGTTTGATAACCACCGCAAATGTCTCACATGCGTTTCCAACGCCACGCGCGTTCCTGAAGCCATTTTTATCAATGCTGCTATCACGTGCTCCGCACTGTCTTGATGCCCTGGTCTCCGCAGAGCGAAATCGGAGCAAACTCGTCTGTCCAGGAAGCTCGGGTCACCCCACGTAGCACCCCTAAACTGCCGATCAAACTACCATGAGGGTAATGCGCACAGTCAACTTCTGAAATTACAGCGATGAGCACTTTGATTCGTTGCTATTGCGTCAATTCTGGCCTCTTTTCCAGTACAATTGCACCATATATATAAGTGATAGAGAAACTAGCAAACGCGTCAGTGCAATAATTAATAATTTCAATATTTCATCTCATCCTACCCTCTCAGTCATCTTTCCACTACCCTTTTCCATTCCGGTAGCGTGGGGTAGCCAACCGGATATACACCTATTTAACCTCCCCATCTTCTCCCTGTTGTTGTTTCTTCTTTTTACTACGTGAAAATTTGCAGTGCAAGCAGCCGTTGTCATAACGGGTACAGGGCGAATCATATGTTAGGTGATGGGACGCTGGAAAGGTTTTAATCTATGCTACTGTCTCGGCCAACTCCTCCTCAATTTTATCAATGCCAGCCAGATGCGCCCGATTCAGCCATTCACCCCCTCTCCTTTAGCCCTTCCCTGCTCTCGCCCATCGCCCAGCCTTCGCGTGTGCTTTGCTGTCATAGGGGAAGGAGCCCCCTCATGCAGTGCCTCCCGACGGAAATCATAAGAGGTAATGTTTTGTTTAGTTGTGTACAGATCCGTGGGGCGGTGCCTTGTATTCCTCGTGTTCACTATGCTGGCGGTCACGCTGGTTCTGTAAAAGATACGGTGTTTTGAGATAGAGTGTCACCGTTCGTGGAGCTGTGCGGGCAACCAGTAGTGAAGCGTCACTGGGACGCTACTTGACGCGCTGCGCCTTGGTGCGATGGCCGCGTTGCTTCGAGCCACAAAAAAAGGAGCACGAAGGAACGAATTTGACAGACGTACGATATTACAGTGGGAAACACGTCTATCGCATCTCCGGGGGAAAGCGCTCGAAAGCACGCGTGACGCAAGTAGTGCGACCCCTCATGCAGCGTCACATCACGACCACTTCCTGAACTATATGGCGGACCAGCGGCTTTCGTTGATAAACTTAACCGTGTTTTCACTGGCATTGAAAAAAATGAGGGAGGCGTTGGTCTCGCCCTTTCGTGCTACCCTGCTACTGCCACGATAGTGCTGAGTCATACGAGATGTAAACTCGGTCGTAACACGAATTTCAGAATCCAGAGAATCGATAACGTATCTATAACGCCTCTGAAGAATGTTACGTAAACCATGATTATCTTTACTTCGCTTTTCTGCTGGGCGAAGTTAGAATGATGGGTAAAAACTTGTTAGAATTTTTAGATGACACAGAATCGATGTTTGCCTTTGGCTCAACTTTCTGCGGGGATAAGACACTGAACTAAAAACACCTGTGTTGTTCTTCAGATAAGTGGCGCTCAAAAGTTGAGCAGGGGCCCAAGGAAAATTTATATTTGCTTCTTCAGCACGACATCGGCGGTCCTGTGATGAGCAAGGTTGACGGTGCCTGGACGCTCCACGGCGTTGTGTCTGGCGGCGCCAAGGGCTGCAAGGTGGGCGAGCACCCGATGTTGCACACGCGGGTGGCCATGTTCTTCGACTTCATCAAAAACTACGCGCACGCTGACAAGGGACAGTGCGACCTCAAGACGACCTCGGCATAAACGCCTTCTGTACGCTTTGCCGTATAGCCATAAAAATGTAGTGCTCATCGAAGCATTTGGTCTTTGAAAGAAACAATAAAGTCATTCTAAGACTGATCACCAATATCTCTATTATTTAGGTGATGTCTTGCTGGGGTTTTCTGTTCTATCTGCATTCGGCAACGGGTGACGTAATTCAGCCGCAGCATTTGCTCGCACGCTACCAGCGCCGAGCAATGCCCACGAATGAGCAAACGTACTTCGCGCCTGCTCTCAGTACAATGCCAGTGTTTTCGTGAAAACGTAGCAGATGGCGCCACCAGCTCTACGCAGCAACGCATCGCTATCAGGCATCAATGAAAACTTGTTTTCACCCTAACTTAGCCCGATTCACGACAACCTTCGGCATACAGCGGAATAAAACTTGGATAGAAATATTATCACTTGTGATACTAATAAGTACTCTCCCGAATATTGCGCCTTGGTTGCTGGAATATAGGGTGAGTAGAGGCCGATGGTGTCCCCTCTCTCACTATTTTTGTTTGTTTGTTCTGCCTTTTCCTCTTCCTCGTTTAAGCGTAGAAACATTAAAACACAATAGCACAACGCTGATTCTGTGCATATAACCGAGGGTTGTTTAGATGATACCATGGTGGCGATGCAATAACAGTGGTGTCACCTAATGTGTTAAAGCCCTACGTGTGGCACCGTTCGGTGCGTCAGTATAGACGCAAAAGCTTAATATTTCTTTCACACTGGCAAACATTAACATCGATCTCCTCCAGAAAGATACGCAGGCCCTTGTTTACAAAATAATTGTAAGCTAAATGTTTCGAAGGAGAATATTTCCACCAATAACGATGCGGCACATATCACTAGCGGAGCCGGCACACCAATGGAATAATTTAGTCACGAAATATAGGTTTGGAAATTCGACCCGAAGTCACAGGCAGGAAATGAAAGAGTAAGCAAAGCACCTTCACAAAGCCGCAGAAGGTATGCAATGAATAACAATAAATGATGAATCTCAAATTTATCAAATGATATACTTTATCTCTTCGTCATATTGTTAAAGTTCTGTACATGGCTAAGCCAGTGGAGCCTGACAGCCGACCTTACGAGTGTTATCTTGCGCAGCCTTGGTTTATGCCTATTCTTGCCTTGGCAGTTTTCGCGTGAATATTCCCACAGCAACAGTGATGAGTGGGGCGTGTTACTATCAAAAGTTTCACCCTCCGCGCACACATTAAAGAGACCGTTGTCACGGCAGTGAATTAAAGCGACACAACCAATGAAAGAAGCTCACTCACTGCTTCGATGCAGCCCAGCTCATGTTGGCCAGATTTACGCAATTCAACCTCTTGTTTCATTGCTTACCACACAACACGTTCAACTTCATTTCCTTGCTTTTAAACGTTAGTTTCGCCTTATCATCGGGGCTTATTCCAAAGGCAAACAGATACAACGTTGTATTGTTAAACTGGTGCGCCTTGTTCCATCATGCGCCACCATCATGCGCATGCCTGTACCTTTTAGACGGCAGGCCGAAACATAACCTTGGTTATTTCTCTGTTTACACCAGCTTTATTTGCATTAAATAAGGATACATTTTCCCAACAGCAGCGCAAGAAATGTACAGAAGATAAGGAACGTAACACGAATCCTCCAGTATTCACCCATCGTACGGAATGTTGTCGGGCACCCGTTGCACGACGATGCCATCCGCACCTTGCAGTGTAACCGCGAGTATATACGAAAACAAGCAGCCATCAATTATTTGAATCCCTAACCAAGATAGGTTGTATAGACAGGGTCCAGACAAAAGTCGCTCGACTTGTACGTGTAATAATAAAGGCGTTATTATGTCGTCATTATCGATATTAGTTCCATTGTATAACACCACTGGGACAAAGAAAAACGCCAGGCCTGCGTGGAAGGCGCAGCACAGTCACAGCGAAAGCTAGAAGAGTGACCTTTCAGAGGAAGAAAAAAAAAGGAGGAAACGAACAGCAGGGAGGTTAACCAGCCTATAGACAGCCGGTTTGCTACCCTGCGCATGGGAGGGGGATGGGGGAGATGAAAGATAGAGAAGAGAGAGAGAAGGGAGATAGACACAGCACGTTAGGCAGCACACGCGCGCACACTAAGTCGTAGGCACTGCGCCGTGCTCCCGACCGGGTTGCAGAAATTAGGTGCCTTCTCTCATCTTCTAACCACTACCACCACCATAGTCCAGTCTTGTCTTTCGTGGTGTGTGACATAGCTGTTACAGCCGCTTGCTCAAGTCCGTGTCGTGTAGGAATTAGTGCGTTTGTCGCCTTCTGTTGCAATGTCCTCTCTCGGGCACTAAAATTCTAGGTCCTCGTGGCCTTTCAGAGCGTTTTCAAAACACTTCATCGGGTAAGTACTGCAAGCAAACTTGCTTGATAAGCTTTTGGGTAGTAGGTTATTTTGGGTAGTAGGTTATATGCTATTTTTCGTCATTCTTCTGAGAAACGTGTTCTCCGCTAAACACTTACAAGGAATTTCGTGTCAATTGTGTCATGCAGTAGCTGACGACGATGAGGAATTATGGCTGAAGTGGGTATGCGCCACAGTTAATAGGAGAACTAGAACACGCTTTTCTAATGGGTTTGACAATTGGACGGCCCACTCGTTACGCTATTCGCATTGTGCGACGACTGGCTGTTCATTCGCTGTTTTAAAACGCTTTTTAAGTCATATAAACGCGATTGCTTTCTCGACATCAAACCTGCCTAGGGTAAGTTTGCCAACAAGTCGCAAGCACCAGCGTAGCTCAGTGTTAATAATAACTGTCTGCAATCTTCTTGCTAACACTTTCATCAAAATCTTGTAGTCGATATTTGATAGACTTCTTGGTCTGCACGACTTCACTGCCCGTAATTTAACTGCGTCTTCTGTTTTTGAAATAATATAGTATGAGATAGCAGAAAAGAAGGCGGCAGAACCTTTATGTCTCAAGCTTCGTTAAAAACCTCTGCTAAAATCGGTACTAGTTCGTGTTTCAACGCTTTATAAGAGGTAGCCGTTAAGCCGTCAGGTCCTGGGGATTTTCCCAAATGGAGGGCAGCGATTGCTTTTACCAGTTCCGCTACCGAAATATAAGAAGCTCTAAGCTGTCTTTCCTGCGATATTCGACTTTTCACATTATTTTTAAAAATTCATTCTCGAATTCATTTACGTTCACTTCGTTTTATCGAATAGCATGCTGTAGTACTCATTGAAAGCATCCTCTATAGATTTCTGTTCACTTGTAACATTACCCATGTATTCAATCTCCCCAGGTGGTCGAAATTTCCGGAGCCCTCCACTACGGCGTCTCTCATAACCATATGTGGTTTTGGGACGTTAAACCCCACATATCAATCAATCAATCAATCAAATCAATCAATCAATGTATTCAATCTGATGTATGGCGTTCCGCTGAGCGTTTCGTTTTTCGAGACCCAGCATTCTTTCGGTCAGCTTCTCTCCTGCTGTCATCTTCTCCGCCCCTGCCCTTATCTGCGCACCACGATACTTCTCATCGATTTGTTCCAATTTTGACTTTACTGACATGATGTCATTAGTAAATAAGCCTGGAGCTTTGCTTTTCTCTGCTAGCAGTTCTTTAAGATTTGAGCGTTGGGTTATTTCTTCTTCAAAGTTTGCGTGTTTTATAACACTTCAGCAGTTCATAGCTTTCAATTTATTAACCTGTTTAGATTGTTCCCATTTCACTCGACATTTCTCGTCTCCACTGTCTCCAACGCCTCTCAAACACTATCTCTAAATATCTAATCTTCCAAGAAATTAGAATTAGGATTCTACATGTCCCGGTTGAATACTGGTCTACGCCCGTTTCTTTTGCCGATTAGAAATGATACTAAACAGTGATTACTAAATGACATAGGAAGGACATTGTACTCGCTGACACTCTGATCAGAACTAATTCTAGTGACACATAGGCCCTATCCAGGCACGCATGACTGGAGCCTTGAAGAGGGGTATACTGTGTTGGTCCTTTACCAATACACTCTGTGACATCCTCGAAGTCTAAGTCAGAGGTGCCACAAGCGATTACATCGTGATGATCCAGATAAATTTAGAAAAAGCTTTTGATCGAGTACCCCATGAAATTATTTTCTTTTGTTGGACTATGTTAATGTTGATAGTGTAATTCGGAATACAGTTGGAATGGCATATACTGGATGTAAAACGCGGCTCATCATCAACAAATTTCTTGGGAAAATAATTAATGTCAAAAGTTCTGTGTGACAAGGATGTCCTTTGTCCTCCCTTCTATATTCAATTTAGGTAGAAGTATTTTGCCAAAATAATTATGAAAAGCAGTAACATAAAAGGGTACAAACTACAAGAAGCTGAACTACGGGTACTAGCATATGCAGATGATATAGCTGTGTTGTCTAAAGATTATGATAGTATCGCCGAAATCGTAAAAATCGTGAACCTTTATTGTAATACAAGGGGAAGTTGGGTAAACTGGAGTAAGTGCGTGGGTTACTGGCATGGGGAGCGGCCTATGACTCCAGAATTTGTGGCTGGTATTTCACGGACTGCTACTTCTGTACGGTACCTAGGCGTTCCATTGGAATAATTATGTGACAGTGAACCGTACTGGCGGCGTCAGGCCATGCAGCTACGAGAAAAAGCTGAGCAACTCAAAGGTTTCTAACTATGAATTTTTTGCAAGAGCGTCCTCTTGCAACATATCTTTAGCCAGTAAGCTCTGGTGTGTTTTTCAAGTATTGCATTATGTTTAGAAAAAATGTCTGGTGGGAAGTGTTTGACGATGTACGCGACGGGATTGTGACGTTATTCATGTCTTGACCAACGCGTCATATTTGTCAAACCATCTTACCCTTCTATGCTAATTTTATTTCCCGCTAAGTCAGGAAGGTGACCACGAGAACACTCAAACGCAATCGGATAGATAGATAGATAGATAGATAGATAGATAGATAGATAGATAGATAGATAGATATGCTCAAACTCGCCAAAGTTCGCTAAGAAATGCTTCGCATTTAAAATCTAATATAAAAAGTTCTTCCTGTGCCTTTATATAGAACATTATACTGTGCAAGCACAGGCAAGAAT